CGCTTCAGCTCCATCGCTCGCTTCTCGGGGCGCTGATGCACCCACGCGCCCACTGCTGCGAGGCGGTGGGTCTCAAAGCGCGCCTTGTCTGCTGGCTGTGCGGGGGTGCGGGGGTGCGGCCGTCAGACCTGTTGAGTTTGATTTGGCTATCACGCAAGTGCGCTCACAGGGCTCGCACGCCCTCGCGCACAACAGTTGTTTTCTTCCATCAGCAGCAGCGCTAACCCACCACAACCCCCGCTCTGCCCGCTCTCCATCTCTCTCTTGCGCTTTCGGGCGCACCCATCACCGACCGTGTGAACAGACAGGGCGCCAGACAGGGCAAGATGGGGCGCCGGGGCAACGGCCAACCACACATACATCTCGTGAAAGATGTTGTGGTTGCGGTTGTGACCAAAGACGCCGGTGATGCAAAACCGTGGTAAGGCAGGTCGTGGTTGCTGGCTGTAGGCCGAGCCCTCTCTGTGTCGAGCCTGCGTGGCATGCTTGTCGCGCCGAAACCGCTGCTGTTACTCGTCGCAAAGGGTTTTAAAGAAGATAAGCGCAAGGATGGCTGCTGTGAGGAGGACGTCTTTGATGTCAACGGCAAAGGCGGTGATGTTCATGACAGTGAGGGTAATGCCCCACAGTAGGGCGGTTTGGAAGACCACGATAGCGCCAAAGCTGTAGAGCTCCTAGTGTAGCGGGTTGTGCATGAGCCGCCAGATACGAATGTACGCCGAGCGGTCGTCTTGGTAGCCGCACAAGTACCCGCCGCGGCGGTCGAAGTTAAGGGTTAGGCAAATCTCCCACAGCATGATGAGGGCACCGTACAGGAGAGCCGCAATGTTCAACGCGGAGTAGCCCGCGCTGGTGAAGTCTGCAGCGCCGCCACGCAAAATATAGCTGATGTGGATTGACGCGTAGATGATTGGCATAATTGATCAGGAGCAATTCACCCACAAGTAGTTCCGGTAAACAACAGACGCGACGTACGTGAAGAGGGGCCCCGCCAGCATAAGCGCAAACATCGCGTCGTATTAAGACGCGGGCTGTTACTCGCGCATGAACGCGGCACAGGCAGATAGTGAGGGAGCGTGCATAGCTTGCTGGCGTGTGTCTTACTTTATTTTGCTTCTGTGCTCCTGCTTCTTCTATACCTTGATTTTGCCTTTCTGCTCGTTTGCAGACTCTTATCGTCCCCGCGCAAACTGCAAGCGTGGAGGGGACAGGGGGAGTGGTGGGTAGGGGCGACCGGCAGAAACGCAGAAATAAAAAGTTAGCAGGAAATGAACTACTGGCAGGAGAAAAAATACCTGTAGCCGCACCACTCCACACCAAACCGCAAACCAGACAAAAAAAACAAAAAAAAAGTTCAAATAATCCAAAATAAAGGAAGGAAAAGTCCCACAGAAGGGCGCTGCATTCATCCCACGCGTATACATTGACGTGGGTGTGTATGCCAGTGCTGTTGCGTCTCTGAGTTGTGGGGCTGCAGCACTTCGCACAGCCCCGTTTTTTCACGTTTGCGCCCAAACACGCCCGTCGTGCCAATGCCGAACATTATGTGTTCCCGTCCTGCTCCTTTCCACACAATTCCCTACTCGCCCTTGTCGTTTACCAACACTACCCACCCCCGGCGTATTATGACCTACAACTCCTTCATCAAGTCTTTTGTAATATTTCTTTGGTGCGCCTCAAGTGTGCCGCCGCCAATCTCAAGCAGCTTCGCATCCCGCCAGAGCCGTTCCACCGGCATGTCCCGAGCGTATCCCATACCGCCCATCACCTGCATCGCGTTGTCCGCCACACGCTTTGCAACAGGGGCTGCAAACAACTTGGATGCATCGCTGCCAAGACGATTATGGGATGTTGGCGACACGCTGCGGCTCACGGCATACGTGAGCGCCTTGGCGGCCTCTGTGTCCGCGTAGCTCTCAGCGATGAGGCGCTGAATCTGCCCGTGGTGCCAGATCGGTTTTCCAAACGCCTGGCGTTCCCCGGCGTAGCGGACCATGAGCTCCATAGAACGGTCCGCAATACCAACAGCCATTGCGGCCAGTGTGAGGCGCTCGATTTCGAGGTTGCGCATCATCCCCACCACGCCCCTCCCCTCCGCCCCCAGAAGGTTCTCCTTGCCTAGCTCCACATTATCAAAAAACAGCTGACACATCTGGGAGCCTCGCATGCCACACTTGTCAATCTTTGGGCCGCAGGTAAACCCTAGGGTTCCCTTCTCCACCACGAATGCCGTAATTTTCCCCTCCACCTTGGCGTAGAGAATCACCACGTCGGCAACAGTGCCATTGGTGATCCACGTTTTGCAGCCGTTCAGGACGTACTTCCCATCACCTACCTTATTGGCGATTGTAGACATGCCCAACACATCGGTGCCGGCGCCCGGCTCCGACATGCACATTGCGCCGATGTGCTCGCCCGAGATAACCTTCGGCAACCACCGCTCCCGCTGCTCAGGCGAGGCAGAGTTGTAGAAGTTGTTCACAAAGAGGACGGAGTGCGCTAGGTAGGCGAGGCAGAAGCCAGGGTCTACCTTAGACAGCTCGTGGTGTACAATGACGGAGGCGGTGGCGTCCATTCCCGCCCCACCAGCCTCTTCCGGGATGGTCACACCCAACATTCCAAGGTCGCCGAGTTCGCGGATGAGGTCGGCGCTGAACCGCATCTCAATATCGCTCTGTTTCGCCCTGGGCTCAACCCGCTCAATTGCAAACCTCGCAATCGCCTCCCGCAGCATCTTGTGTTCCGCGGTTGGATTGAACAGAAAGTCCATGGAGGCGGCAGCGGAGGAAGCAAAGCAGCGCGCCACCCCGACCGCATGTGAAACGCCAGCCAGCCGAGGCCTCAAAAGGCGCCATCTGCAGAGCATTTATGCGTTTACTTTATCTATCACTCTCACTATATCACACACACACACTATCTGTAAGTACGCTAGTTGCTGTTGTTGTTCTTTTTTTTCTAGTATCTCTGCCTTGTAGAATTGTTTTTTGGTCCTTGCACGGACGCGTGGCGTTATTGTATATGTTGCCGTAAATAAACGTGTTGTCCCCGACTATTGAGAGAAGGACAGCTTGCGGGTCGGTGCGGGGGACACGAGGAGCATCCGCAAACCAAGAATAACAATGACAATAATAAACAGTAAAAGCACAAAGGAAATACAACAGCAGGAATGCGTGCACGTTTGTTTGCGTGTGTTATCACCCAGCTTCCCCTGGAAGTTCGTTGTCTCTTCTTCTGTTAATTTATCCTTTGTTGTTCTTGTTAATAATAATAATAATAATATATATATATATATATATATATATATGGTTTGGCAGTAACACCTGGCGTTCAACGGGAACCCGCATCCCCTGCTCCACGCCGACTACCGCGTGGCTGCACAGTTACGCAGTACGCACGAAGAGAGGCAACAGACCAAGTTAGCTGCACGAAGGGAGACTATACGTGTAGCTCATGTATGTGACGGCCCCCTGCAGTACGCTGCCTTCACCAAAAATGTCGGCGTGCCGCAGCTGGAGCAACCCGCGTTCCCCCGCGGTAAGTTTGTCTCGATCTACCGCGCCCATCAGGCGCCGAACCTCGGACTTCAGATACGACACAGACTGGGACTGTGTCAGCCGCTCCCCGCCGTCCGGGCTCACGGTAGTCAGGACCCGCAGCAGCTCGGCGGAGTACCGGCCACGTTTCCCCATCACCGCCAGACACTGCTCCAGAGGCGAGAAGAGAGGAAGCGGAGCAATGGGTTCGGGCCGAATACGTTCAGCCATCCTTTTTACGCCACTGGCTGCCTTCAGCATCCCCACTGTGGGGTTTTTGGTAAACACGCGAAAATCGTAGTCAAAGCAGCGCCCAAGCAAAATTGACTTCAAGGCCCACATGGCACCTTTTAAAAGATCCACACCATTATCCACATCCCCTTGTAACAGAGAGGAACGCCCTCGCACTGTGAACTGCTTAATCTTTGACTGACGCAGCTTGTGATGCAAAGAATCCTTCATATTCATCACGGCGCGGAGAAACTCGACATCCACCTCAAAGTCTTCGCCATGTATGAGAGATCTTCTGAAGTAGCCACCGTTTCCACGGAGTTCGCGGTAGCGTCGCCATAGAAATTTGCTACGCCCAACAATGCCTTCGTACCAGTCACCGCCGCTAAGCAGCATAAGAAACACAAAATCTATGCGGTAAGATGGTAGCAGCCCAAGCGGTAGAAGTCCGTTTGCGGCGCCTTTTCGCCAATGTTCATAAAGCTCATCAATCATGGTGATGGTGCAGTCAGTGGGGTCGATCATGTAGTAGTGAGAGTATGGCGTGCATGCAATACCTACCAACGCCAAGTCCGAGTCGTTGCCGACGACGACAATCACATCCTCTCCCGTGTACGTTTCTTTGCGCCTCTGCTCCAGCCACATCGCGCGGAGGATAGACGATATTTTTATTTCTCCCTCGCCTGCATCTTCGCAGCCGCTTATGACGACCGCACACTCGTCTGGAACCCCTGCAGGCGCACGCTCACCGTCAATCGGCATCAGTGCCTTCCTCAAGGCGTCTTCACACGCCAGAAGAAACTCCGACCCCGCGACAACCTCTTCCCGCATGAGCGGTATCTCCGCCCCTTCGTAGTCGTAATTGTACCTTGCGTGTATCGCGGAGGGAGGAGGTTCCAACGCTCTTTGCGGACTCGGCATGGAGACACGCCTCTCCTTTTGTACCTTAAGCTTGGCCACCGGCGCGGCACCGTCAAACACGAAGACAAGTGACTTGCTTGGTGGAAATCGCTGTATGAGACGCTTCACGGAGGCCGTCACATCCCTGATGATTTTCCGCGACGTAAAGGCAGATCCCCGGATGGCGCCGTGCACGACGGCGTTCATGTCGAACAGCAGGTGGTCCGCTTCGAGGATGGGGGCGTCGCCCCGCACACTGGGAGGGGCCGAGCAGAGACCATGGCTATTGAGGTAGCACCAGAGCCCGTGCACCCCCATATTCCCCTCCTGGAGGCTAAGCCAATGCGGGCAGCAAAGCAAAAAAAAAGGAGAAGGGCAATTGACTGCAGAGCATGTGTGCACGTAGAGCCCCACCACCGTCATGGCGAGAAACACGTGCCAACAAACCGACGACACACACATGCACACACAAATAGGCGCATGCACACGCAGTATAGGAAGGTAAAAAAGTATGTAATATTTCCTTCAACACGAGATTTTTATTTATGCCCGCTTTCATATAAACAAACAGATAGCCCTGGCATCACAGCAAAGTGGCCCACGGCGTCGTCAAGGCTCGGTGCTTCGCAAATAGAAAAGCTAATAGCCGGCAGTTGGTGCCTTCAGCTTGTTGTTTATTTCTGCTGTTTTAGGATTATTCTTTTTTTTTTTTTGCTTCCCTTCAAAAGCAATCGTTGTTTCTCTTGTGTAGCGCTAGAGCCCTACATTTCCATATATGTAGAACATTACCTCCACATGCCGTCAACTGCAGCTGTTGAATGGGAAATCTACCACACTTCTCCCGGGCCTTCTGAACACGGCGCCACACAAAGCTCGGCGGGCGCCACCATTAGCCAACAAGAAATTCTCTATAGAAACAAAATACATCCCCCCTTGTTTATGTGCATGTCCATCTCACGTTCAAAGCTTCTCTACCCAAGACTCAAAGCCTTCGCCGAGTTCGCGTTCGCAGCAGAGCTCGGTGAGTTCCTTATCGCCCTGCTGATGCACCAAAAGAAATGGAATGGAGGTGATATTGAGCAGCGGATGCCGTCTGTATGCGTATTCCGGGTTTCCAAGGTATACGGAGCGCTCAACAATGCACTGAACGTACACGACACGCCGCTTTCGCTTAGCAGCCTCCACTGCACGTTGCACCACCGGCTCCGCAAGCACGCAGGGTGGACACCAGGACCTGTGCGTCTTGCGATCGGAGGCACCCTTGATAAAGAGCACAAGAACATCGCCGGGTGCCAGTCCCGCCTTGAGTGTCGCCAATGTGTCGTCAAAGTCTCGGGGCGTCGTAACCAGTACATTGTCCACACCGTTTGCGGGGCCAAGAATGGTCTCTTTCGGTGGGTGCGACATGTAGAAGATGTGGTCTTCGTGTGCCGCACGTGCCTCTGCGGCTCTTTCAGTATTGGGCTCACCCTCGCGGGGAATTGGTTGAAATACAGTAGAGTTCCGCAGCAGGCGCAGCAGCTTAACCGGGGGGGAGTCCGAAGCAGGAACAAGACGGTGGTAGATACCTCGAGGAACAACAAGCAGATCCCCCGCTTTGGCCTCAACACGGATCCACCGGTCCTCTGCGTCACGCACGTCGAGATACAGAACCCCACTTTCCACGACACACATTTGCTCGTCCAGGTTAAGATGCTCACGAAGCTCCTCCTGGGCGTCTGCCGTCAGAGTCACCTCCTCCTGCCCCTGATAACCCAAGTTCCAAGCAAGGCGCTGGGCGCAGGTCCGCTTTTTTTCATCTGTTGGGTCTCGCTCATGAAGCGTCGCAGGATCCACCGTGCGAGTGTAGACACCGCATGCCTCAAGCGTATCCGCCCGCACGGGTGCGCCTGGTGAGCAGTGATTTGGAAACGCAACGTTGCATTCCTGTGAGTGCAGGAACCAGGCTGCAGGCATCGGCACGCTTTTGTTGATGTTGTCTCGCTTGTGGGAGAAAGGGGGAAACAAACCACGTAAAAGGAGTTTACCTCTTAGAAGTATTTGTGTACTTATTTTTATTCACTTTATGTATATGAAGGTGTGTGTGACCGCAGTACGCCGCTCGGCGAGAACACACACACAGACGCAGAACAAACAAACGCAAAGAAGAAAGGCAACGAGGCTTGCAAACCTTGCTCGCAAACAAAGCTCCAGCGCAGGTGTACAGCTCCTTCAGCACAATGGCAAAAAGAAGTGAGGAAAGTGCAAAAAAAAAAGGACCGATAAAAAAAAAGGAGAAATAAACGCAAAAAAAGCGACAGTTCCACTGATCAAGCTCCACTCTACCGAAGCAGCCGCAAAACCTATGCATACAGTGAAGCATAGAGGCCAAAAGCAAAGGAAGCAAGAGACAGAAAGAGTCGGGGGTAAGAAAAATAAGACAAAACCCTAAGCAAGATCCAGATTAATGCCCTCGCGCAACATCTCCCTCAGGTACAAACTAAGTTTTTGCTTAAGAAGAGATCTAAATAAGAAGCCTGCCGCATTCAGTCTGAACACCGAGCATTTAGTGTGCAAAGAGCCAATGGAGACGTGAGTGTCGTAGCAGGTGGCTTTCAAATGCCCTGTCGAAAGCAACCACAACATCAGTTTTGCCTTTAGTTTGATATCCTTGGCTTTCGCGCTTGCGGTTCCTTTTCTTGCGTCGCCTCGGCCTCCCGCTTTCGCAAGCGTAAACGACGCCGGCCCCAACGCCAGGTGCTTCAATTTCACACGCCACAGTATGTATTCACCATTATCGCTAAAGCAGGCATAGGAGCGCCCAAACGTCACCTCTCTAACTCTCACCGCCTCGATATTTGTAAGAGTATTTCCAAACACCTTCAAACAGGTGTTTTGGAGAGCGGGTAACAGCTCTTTGCCCTCCATTTCTTTTCCGATCACACGGAGCAACTTTGGGAAATACTCAGGGAGCAAATCTGTAAACGTCTTGCAGCGCTCCATGATCTCCTTGCAAAAGTTTCTCCGCTCCATCTTGCAGAATGCTTTTCCTCCCTTCATTTCAAGCTCATCCATAATTTTCTTCAATTCACACTCTTTCTGTATACTGAACTGTAGCGGGGTCTGCAAGACGTGGCCGACGCGTACAGGAGAATTATCCGCAAGATCAACAATTGGTGTTCTCTTCTTGGCGCCCATCCCATTCTTGCCTTGCGCATTTGCGTCATCTTTCCCCTCTTCAGAGTGCAGAACGCATAATGAAGAGGAAATTTCCTCATCCGAAAGGATCATATTCTTTGCCTCCCGCTCCTCTTTTAGTGACAGAGTGGTTGGGGCCCAACGGATAATTGGCGCCTGAATTCCATCCCCACTCCCCTCAGCATCATTTGTCCGCAAAAATGCCGTCTCGGCCGACGTCGGCAGAACGAGTGGTTGCGCACCCATAACATCGGCCAAGGTGGCAGATGTAATAAAATGATCATCCCATGCGGCGGTATCGATTGGGAACACCGCGACAGTAGCGTTGTACTCGTGTTGCTGATTGGCCTCCCAGCTATTCGCGTCCTCGTCAAAGAGAGCTAATCTTGAAAGGAGATGAGATTGTACATGGGCCAGTGGATCCTTCACGGTGTGGTTCATCTCATTGCCACAACCGTCAACAACCATCATGCCTGGATCCGATGACGGTGTTGTTGTTGTTGCTGCCGCTGCTGCTTTTTCCCACGTCATCCTCGTGGAAGCCATTTGTTTTTGTGTCATTTTTAGTAGGTGCGATGCACTGTAAAGATCAGGATTTATACTGTCATTCAAGCGAAAAATCGTCTCCTCAACACTTTCTGTTGTCATAACAGCCTCGTTGATGCATTGGGTAGAAGCATACGGGAAGAGTGCCTCCATAAGGCGAGTCTCCTCGAGCCACGATAACCCCTTCGTGTCCTTCGTCGCCGAGGACTCCATGCTAACACGCGGAGGGTTTCTTGTGACTGAGATGTGCAAATAGAAAACAAAAAGAAGTAGCAATGGCGGAAGCAGAACCCATGCAAACCGTCAGACGCAAATGCACAGATGCGCATGTGTAGGCACGCGCACAACGAGAGAGAACCACATATTCCAGTAGTAAGCCAAAGGAAAAGAAAATGACAGTGGAAGCAAAGCAGCCATCTTCTAGTCTCACGCAAAGCAAATGATATGACCAAAACAAAAAGTGTGAAGAAAATCAAAGTTGGATGAAAAAATAAAAATAAAACAATTTTAATGACATGTCTCTCTGCGTGTACGTGTGGCATGGCTTTCCACATGTAACGCCCCATTCGAGCAGCCACCAATTCAAATGTGTCCTCCCAGCGAGAGAAATGTTGCTGCTCTCGGCGAAGTACGTCATCAAGCACGTCACCAATGCAATCTTTATTTCTGCTAAAAGCCGGAGCTGCCAGGCCTTCTACCACCTCTCCCGCAGTTCAAGCGCCAGGAGACATTCAGGTGCAGGACGCGATCGCCTCAACACTGATGCGTTGTGTGACACCAACCAGACAAGCCGCGCAACTGCGCGTTGGGCAGCCGTAAACTGTGCAGTGTGTTTCTTATCCGGCACGGCAGCTTGATGGCGCATAAAACAGACAAGCAGCAACAGTGTCCATCAGAGAGTATTTCGTGTGTTGACAAAAATCACGGTCCCACCGTTTCCGCGCATCTTGTTTCATATCTCAACACTAAAAGCATTATCAGTGTCGAAGGAGCTTCCATAACGGAGTCCATCAATCCATTTCTCGAACGCTGTGCTCAACGAGGCAATGCACGTGAGCGAGCTCCACATAATATCACGCAGCAAAGGCAATAGTATTTTCCCATATCCACTCATTGGAAATTCGTCTATGAAAAATTTCGAAAAGGCAACCAACTTGGCGGCACCCATATCACAGTGATCAAAGAGTGTCCGTGCGTCGTTGGAAATGCATGCATTCGCTGAGGTCAACATAGAAAGTTCATCAAAGCAATGGCCCACCACAGCTTGACATAACTCTGCTATTAACAGCGGAATGACATACTTAAATCCGTCATGTCGAATAAATAGTGGCTCATTGTCTCCAACAAGGTGGCAGCCCTCACATTTCAACTCTAGATAAAAGGCGCAAATGGGTCGCTAACGCAAAGTTGAAGACCTCCAAGAATTATCCCACAACACAAAGTAAATGGCACTCCAGATAATCTCGATATGCGTTCTTCGCTGCTCTTCCATCCGCATGCTTAAAAAGAACAATTGTCGCTCACTCCCATCATTACTCTCTGTTATAAATCAAAGAGCACCAAGCCAGAGAGCAAATTCCACCATGTTCCACGCGCTCAGATGCTTGACTTTACAAGAACAAATATCTTTTTCGTAATGAAACTCATTTCCTAAACATCATACGTTGCCCGAAAAAAAGTCGGCCGCCTTTCACAACTTGAAAGAACGGCTCCGCAGATAACAGCGTTCGGCAAGATCTGACATATTCCGTGCGTGAAATGTGTAATATTCCCAGTGGCCTCCACACAAGGCAGTTTTTTTGGGATGCAATCCACACGACCTCGAAGCACATAATCAATGAGAAATATAACCGTGTTAAAAATCAGGGATGCGTGCTAAAAGGAGCCTGCATTACTTGTCTGCTTCACTGCACAATTCTACTGGGAGAAACACAACCAAAAGTTCCAGCAGCTTCTTTAATGCTTGCTGTTGTACCGTATCCTGTTCAGTGTTCTTTATAGAAGAAGGGATGGAGTTCACCGTCAGAGAAAGTCACATAGATGTTGTAAGCGTTACCCATTTTTTATTGTCACCACAGAATGTAATCCACTTCTTCAAGCCAAGTATGCAAAGCACCTTCACAATGTGCCTGGCTGTACATCGTATGAAACGCTTCTTGTTATAAATCACATGAAGAGCGCTGTTAGTGCTTGCTAGAAACTCAACCTTCAAAGAGTATTCCCGTAGTGAAAAACACAGACACCGAAGATCGACGTCATTGATAGCATAGCTCGTAGCCAAGCGAAGAGCAGTCTGAATTTCGTACCGTGTTAACGCATCTATTAGTGGCAAAGCCAACCTTTGTCCCAGCACAGATGCTCGTTGTTGCAATAACAATTTCACAGACTGAGTGGCAATAAGAATACAAAACTCAACGAATGGATTCTCAAATCCACTGTGTATTTCTAGCCTTCCCAGTGCAACACAGGTGAGCTAACACGCCCAAAGAAGTTATGGAATTGTCACTGATTTCTCGTGCGCCACGTGAATTATACAATAGCAGAAAATAAGAAAAATCTCTGCAGACAACCAAACATCGTTGTTGCAGATGTAGTTTTTCTCCCTTTCAAAAAGTAAGTACTGCGGTAAATCTAAAAAAAGATACACACCTGGTTTTTGCCGTAGCTGTCGGACATCTGTTGAAACACCATTTTTTTTAATTTGTGGCTCCTCATCCTGTGACAATAAATGGTTTGCAATAATATGAGTACCTTCTAACATCAACGAAGTTTTTTCAAGAATAGGACATAAAGCATCTGCAAAAGAGTAAACTCCATCTCCCATATCATAACAAAGTTCACTGAGATTATAGTAGCTCACATATCTAACTAACGCCACAATTCCACATTTTGATAATACATCGGGGCAAAGCGTCTCAGGAAAAAAGAGATACACCAGATGGCATAGCAACTACCGCCGGAGGTCAGAACGCTATTCCTCCTTCGGGAAATGAGCTGTCCATTCAGATCACTTCGTATCCGCGTCTTCCATAAGACACGGTCGAAGCACCAAATGGTGAAGGTGCAAGTCATCCGTTAAAAAAGCCAATATGTTTTCTATACATTTGTATCGACAACCATAAAAGCGCACGCGGCAAATAAAAACAAAACGCTGCATCACGAAAAAAAAAAGGCTCCGCAACGTTTTTCGCCTTCTCAGAATACAATCCTGTATTTGCCTACTCCAGCTTCTCAGTCTTGTAACAACGCCTGTGATGAAAACAAAAATATGATCCAAAATCCGTGCGTAGCATCTCTTCAACAGAATTTTAAAAAAACATTTAAAGTTTCGGTTTGATAAAAACGGTCAAGGGTCTGAAGAATCATGGCAAATGCAGCTAAAAAACGAGACTAGTCTATTCCTTAGAATCTCATGCAGGTTGGTACCTCCACAAAAGGGGTAACCACACAACAATTAGTAAAGCAACAACGGAAATAATTCTTCAACAAATAAGTAATGAGCACTCTATGATGCAAACGGAATTCAGACAACCCCTGGCAGAGACGGGCCACATGGTCTCCAAAAAAAAAACATCCGGTAGTGCAGTTAGTACAGAAAGCACACGGGCGTGCAGACTCAACGGGGGCCCATAAAAATCTCCTAGTGCAGCAATGACTTCACTTGTTGCACTGGCATCGAAGAAGACAAAAGAATAGTATGCCTCTTGGACCAAAAACGTCAGTGCCCTCGACCATCGTACCACGGCAACAGACACCCCCATCTTTTCCTTCTAACATTTAGTATCTCTTCAGTGAAACGAGCAAAAGACAGATAAACACAAAAAGACATATTACAACAACAAACAAGCATAGGCAAAAACAATTTAAAAACCATAAAGTAAAAAAAAAATCAGCAAAAATAATATCAATAACAGTAATAATAACAGCAAAAAAAAGCATTTCAACAAAATGCGCAACTACAACACAGCCACACATCGTGAAAATGCGACTAACACGTATTCCCAACGACACCGCACCCTAGTCAACAGCATCACCCAGGTAAGATAGATGCCAAGGAAGACATCGACCAAACCACCTACCCTCCCCCGACATTGCCACGAAGAGTTCCGCTGGGAACAGTCTTGAGCCCCCTTCCCGTTCATCAAGCTGATGGGATTACTCGGCGTCCATCTTGCTGCAGCACATTCTGTTGGTCATGGCTTCACCGCCAATGAGACGGCCCGCACCATGCTCTCACGGTAACAGGGCTGTCCACCACACGGCCCCCTAGGAAGAGCCAAACGCCACGGCGAAGTAGATCAACAAGCCCCCCGTGGAGGCCAACGTTGGCTGTAAGCAAGTGCTTCCTCGTTGGAACAGGGGGCGCCCAGCCCCTATGCAACACTTTCCGGACACCCCCACTCCCCACCCCGGCGCCACGTCACAGAACAGCCAAATATGAGCGACACCCCCGCCTTTTGCCCGCACCTCGCGGCGAACCACCGCCTGCCTCGCTTGGATGCGACATCGCTTCCTGCGCGGGGGCGGAGGGGAGAGGCCCTGCGCCGATTTTGCCCCGCCCCCACCCGGGGCGAGGCCACGCGCACGCCTACTGCGGGAATTTCGAAAGGCGGCCCGCAGGAAGGAACCGAGATGGGGGCGGCGCTTGCGGCCCGCCACCAGAGGAGTGGTGGTGCCCCGCGCCTAGTGCCGCCACCGCCCGGCGCCCGTCGAAGAGCTCGGTGGCCTCGTGTAGCCGCTGCCCCCCCCCCCCCCCC